GGCAGACACGTGGCGCTGCTATTCGCTTTATTCACCATCTTAGCTTCTTCAATACATTCAAGGGGCACAACCCATGAATACTAAAGAGTTCCTATTACATCGCTCATCAAATAAAAAAAATAAAAAAACTGTTTTATGAGCACAAGGTCATAATTAGAATAATTTTGATAATGTGGAATCAAATAGGATAAAGCAGAATATAAAGAAATAATATATTGTCACTTGAATTTAGAAAATAAAACAAAATCAATGAGCCTCTCTGCTTCCCCTTCCCGTGCTTCTTCCCACTCACCCCCGAACTCTTCCCTCAGCTCAATCTCCACCCCCCTCATACATCCACTTCTCCCCCTATCACCCTTCAAGGGAGAGAAAGAAAAAGAAGAAATTCTTCCCGGGACCAGACGAGATCTGCAAGGTGGACATAGAAGAAGCCAAAAAGGGCCTGTCCAAGCAAAAAGGGGTCCTTTTAGGGCTCTTCTAAAAATGGACAAAGTCGATGGGAAGTCTCTTGAAGATCCGCGCAACTTCTCTCACGCCCTAGAAGTCATCATCGTTGTGAGGGATACTGAGGCCTACCTTAAAGTGTGGAGCCACTTATACGAGGCCCAATAGGTAGTTAAACTAACGTACCCTACGGACGTCGGCGGTATTGTCCTGGGTTGAGAACAGGAAGCCTGGGACAATCCGTCGGGTCCTTAACGCTGCATATTTCCGGCTTGTATGTGAGTAGGTTTTTTCTTTATTTCTCTTATTTTTCAGGCCTAAAAGATGTCTATTAAGACAGCCAGTTTGAATTTGAAGGGCATCAGGGATCGGGGTAAGGCGGACCGCCTGCTCCGTGATCTCTTGTCTTTCGGCGTGGATGTCGCCACGATCGAAGAGACCCACTTTGTTTGCAGCATCGATGCGTGTGTGCTGGAGAACGACTTTGTCATTTATTCAGCATATGGGGACCGATATGCCAGAGGAGTTTCTTTGCTGGTGAAGTGTACTCTTGATGCAAAGGTGGACCTTGTGCATACCGATGCCGAGGGCCGGTTGATCGTGGCCGATATTGCTGTGAAAAGTGATTCGTTCCGAGTCGTTGCGGTTTAAGCGCCCAACGACCATGAGGAGAGGGTATCGTTTTTTCGGCGGTTGGAGCCGTTCCTGGTGGATTCAATGCGCCTAGTTTTAATGAGGGACTGGAATGCCATTCTGGACCCCAAGTTAGAAAGGGCGATCGTAGCTTGGTTGATCTGATCAACGATTTTGGTCTCCTTGATAGATACCGGGTCGATCACTCCGGGGGAAAATGTGGACGTGGGCTCATAGTTGGCCTTGTGACAAGGTAGTTAGCTACCTTGACAGTTAGTTAGTTAGAGTTACCTTGACAGTTAATGTTAGTTAGAGGAGCCGACGTAGATTTGATAGATTGTCCCACGTTTCACCGTATGACCACAATCGTTAGCTTGTAGACCTAGAATGGCTGGGTACTAGAAGTTCAATCTGTCTTTACTGGACAGGCAGGACTTCCAGGAGCAGCTAACTAGCGTAGTACAACGGGAGCTAGTGGGGCGGTTATCGGGAATTAAATGTAGAATTAGGTACTTCACCACTGATTTCAGCAAACGGCTCGCCCTAGATAGAGCTGAGAAGGTGAGGACGCTTAAGGATAGTTTTTCCCGGGCGGTGGCTGGGTGGGGTGGGGGATCCCCTAGAGATAGGCTTAGCTAGGGAGGCTCTGGAGCGCTCGAATAGCGAGCGCTACATGGGCCAGGTAATTGGACATAGGTTAAGTAAGATGTCTTCCGAAGCTGTGAACATGGGCGCAGACTTGCGCAAGGAAGATATTCGAGCCACTGACGAGATGTGCGAGGCATTTCGGTGGCATTTCGAGAGCCGCTTTACCAAGGAGCCTGGTCTTCGTGAGGACGAGTTTCGCAGCTATTTGGCTGACTTTCCTAGGCTGAAGCGGCTAGCTCCGAGGGAGAGATCACGGAAGGCGAGGTCTACGTGGCATTGAAGAAGGTCGGCAGAGGCAAGTCGCCCGGTCTGGATGGTTTGCCCAATGAATTGTACTTGAGGCTGTCGCACATTTTGACTGTGGTGTTCAACAACTGGTTCCGGCAGGGGTCCCTCCCCGACCGGTTCTCCAGGGGTGTGATCACGCTGTTGAAAAATGGCAAGGTTGTTGGGGGGCACTTAGACGATTACAGGCCCATAACTCTGCTAAACACAGAGTTAAGATCCTGCAGGAGCGTTTGCAGTCAGTTGCCGAGTCTCTGTTGTGTCCGGAGCATACTTGTTCTGTGAAGGGGTGAACAATTCAGAACAACCTGCATTTGATCCGCACGATCATAGAGGATGTAAAAGACGACGATGAGGCCGCGTTGATCAATTTGGATCAGTCCAAGGCATTTGATAGGGTTGACCATCGCTACCTTGCTACTGTCCTGAAGGCCGCCGGATTCGCACCCGACTTCTGCCGCGGGATTTGCCTTCTGTATCGCTCCCCCAGTGCTATGGTACAGGTGAACGGGAAGCTGTCAGGCGCTTTTGCGCTGTCTAGGTCAGTTCGTCAGGGTTGCCCACTGTCGTCCCTACTTTATGCTTTGGCGTTGGAGCCTCTCCCTCGCCAGCTGAGGAACAGAGCGTGCAGTCCGGCCCTACGCGGAATCGCCGTTCCTGGAGGGGCTCGAGCCAGGGTTTCTGCGTACGCTGATGACGTATCTGCTTTCGGGTCGTCCCGCAGCGACATTGAGGTGGTACTGAAGGCGCTTGATCGGTACGAAAAGTGACAGGGGCCAAGATTAACCGCGACAAGTCGTCCGGCTTGCGGTTAGGTGCCTGAAAGCGGGTCGATCTTCCAGGGCCCTTCAGTTGGACAGACGTCCTGTCCGCATTCTAGGAGTGTAGTTTGTACCCGACCTCCAGCTAGAGAAAAATTGGTCTGAAGTACGAGCAAAGGTCGACGCGGCCGGTCAGATTTGGCGTCGACGGAGGTTGTCCGTGAAGGGCAGGGCGCAGGCTTGTGCCACTTATGTTTTCCCTCTTGTCCTTTATCGATTGTCCGTACTTCCTCTCTTTGACGACCATAGGAAGCCGCTCGAGCGCTCGCTATCCTTTATTTTATAGAAGGGACGCGGGAATCGAGTCGACAGACGAGTCTGTGCACAACGTCCGTGTTATGGGGGGCTGGGAATGCCACACTTGGAGAGCCACAAACGTTCCTCGAGGTTGGCTTTCCTAAGCCACGCGTTGACAGAAGGAGATTCAATTATGGCGGGGATTGTTAGGGACGCGTTTATTCGCCTTAGTATCAGTCCCCCCCTCCCATCTCGCGGGTTGAGCGCCATCGTAAACCTCGGGATCAATCGGATTTCCTTCGCAAGTGTCGGTCGGCCTTGTTGGCCGTTCCTCGGTCCAGTGACCTTTCTTGGCCTATGAAGGTCTTCTATCTTCTTCTAGTGTAGGGGGTCGCGAAGGATTCCCTACGTGAGCGGCTCGACTTGTCGGAGGAGGAGCTTCGGTCTTTCTGGTCTTGGGCGCCAACGACGGATTATCTTAGTAACCCTGAGTTTTCGCTTACCTGGCGATTGATTGGGAATCGACTGCGTCTCAATGACAAGGTTTTCATATGGGGCTTGGCAGATTTGACAAACTGTGAACGGTGTGGCCTTGGTCTGGAATAAACGGCTTCGCACGCCTTTTACCATTGTCCCCGTGTCCGCCCCTTATGGGACCATGTCGGCGAGGTATTCACGAATGGAGGAAGTATTGCGAGGCAATCGTCTTTCTCATCAGGATCTGATCCCATTCTTTGAACATCAGCTTGCATTCGACAGTCTTCAGCGAAAGGTGGGTGACTGGGGCGAGCTTGTTTCGTTTGAACGCGGCTAGCCTTGATTTTCTCTTTTAGGTCACCCTACGTCACATCGGGGTGGTTTCCTGCGGAGCCCTCCCCTTGGTTAGGTTAGACAAGCTTTTGTGTACCTAGTTAATGTAAGTGTTGTTCCTGGCCTGTTCCCGGTTGCCTCTTTGGTTATGATTCAAGTCGAGATTCCCAACCTCCCCAGTTTGTTTTGGCCCCCTTTTTCATCTCGAGTGGGTCAGCTTTACATTTTCCCAGGCCCGTATTATTTTTTATTCATTTCCCACTCCTGTAGTGAGAGAGCTTCTTGATGTTGTCCAATGGACAGAATACAGCGGCCTCTCCTTTTTGAGGGTTGAAAGGGCCCTACTAACATCAGTTATGTTTAGTTTACTTTGTGTTGAGTTTTACTTCATTATTGGGTTCATCTCCCTCCCCTCTCATTCTTCATTACTAGAATTTTATATATAATTTTATTATCATTAAATTTTTAAGGCATGGGGCCCTGTTTTGTAGGTTTCCCCTTGAGAGGATGCGGTATTATGGTGGATGGAGGATTGATTGGTGATGGACGAGTTCTTACGGTGAATCTGGAAACTGTAATGTGTGAAGGGGTCGTGAATCAGATTAGCTAGGTTTAAGATAGTTAGTGACGACCAGCCTCAACCCCTCCCAATTTTGGCCTTGTGCCCTAATTGTATTTTATATACAATAAATATCCAGGATCAAAGTGTAGTACGCTACCTTTGTGACTTCAAGTGCTACGCTTCGACACGATAGTCGTATCACTACACCGATTGACCCGACGAATCTTCGTTCGTCACCAAATAACCAGCTGCTGTCCCCGACAAATCTCCCATCCGGCAGTCGACCAGCTACTGCCGCCGATCAACTCTACACTCGTTTCGCCGATACAACCGAATCAACTTCCCCTGAAGGAAACCAGATACTGACACATATTTCTCCAGGGTACACTCTTGTACATTTTGGATAAATAAAATCGACGTTTATTGTTTCAAAAACCTCTGCCTCATTGTCCCCTCATTGTCTTTGCTGTCCACACCTTTCTTACAAAAGCTTGCGGGTTCGCATTCTTTTCGGTCCCGCAACAAGTGGTGACTTCCCAACGTGAGACAGCTAAGCGATGATGGAGTCGGTCAAGAGTGATTCTCCAGACATGACGGCCGCGATCATACCGCTACCTGCATACCGCCATAATGCAAAGAACTGGTTCTTGCAGGTAGAATCGAATTTTTCCATGTTACGAATCACTTCGCAGCGAGCTAGATTTGCAAACGTGATGCAGAAACTCCCATCCGATATGATGGACGAAATTTCTGATGTCCTCTCCGATTTGCGCGAACACGAACCGTACAATCACTTAAAGGAAGCGATCCTCAAGCGTACCGAGCGTTCCGAGGAGGACATGATTCAAGCGATTCTACGAAACGTCACCAGCTTCTCGGGTATATGAGGAACCAACTGGGAAAGCATAATGTGTCAGAAAAGGTTCGTGGCTTATGGTTGGAGCGTTTGCCCAAATCAGTCGCTCAGATTATCGCCCTAGATGATTTGGGATAATCCGCCGACCTGGTTTTTGCACAGTTTGACCACGGCGTTAACGCAGTTCACACCCCCGACACAGCGAAGCCCGAACGCTACGCCGTCCTGGGTATGACGATAAACTGCATCCGCGTCCTGGGTAAAACGATAAACTACGTCCAACAGCTAGTGTCTCACTTATAGGTTAAATAGGCCCTTCTCCCTGTCCCGACATGCCCTAGCATATATATTTGTCTTTATTTTCTCCCAGTCATGTTATACATTCTGCTCGTGTAGAATTATCAATATGCTCTTGCGGAACTATTCCCAACCCTCAATTATAATGCTAGAAGGCGGGGGCTGAGAGTCAATCGGGTCGAGAGATATGACTGTTGACGTTGAGCGTTTGATAGAGGTTCAGAAACATACTCTTGGCGTGAGTATACTGGTTTTGTATCCCCGTCTCACCCAAGGCGAATGGGTTTCCCCCTTGGTTTATTCTCAACATAAGTTGGACTCCGTGGATCATGGGACCAGCGAAAAACATAAAAACACTCATGGCTTCCTCTACAAAAACTTAAACGCAACTATATAAAATCTGATTCTTATATAATATGATAATGAAACGGAATCATCCTTTCCAAGATTTGTTGTTATAGAATCATGTAGCTCACCGATCACAAATTTATCTCCCTTTATAATAGTAAAGGTGATATCAGGCATCTTAACACTTTTAACTGTCAATAAATTGAAAAATAAGACACTGCTTGTCGAAGTGGAAAAGAAGAAACATGTGGATTTTCTACTAAAAATGACTATGTTCCAGTAAAAACATACCCTCACAAATCCCTGAACACAAGTAAGGGGGTTGTGAGAAACAAAGAACTATCTTTATATACAATAGAAGTAATTAAGAAAGATTTGAAAAAACAAGATGTCATTGATGTTAAACGTATTTCAATAAAAAAAGAAGATAAAATGATAGAAACAAAAACCTATATAATGACATTTAACTCACCAAAAATACCAGAGAAAATTAAAGTAGACTATACCATACTATGGGTCGAGCAGTTTCTGCCTAACCCTCTGAGATGTTACAAATGTCAAAAATATGTCATGAAGACACGTGTAGAGGACGAGAGTTGTGTGGGAAATGTGGCCAAAAAGTTCCTGACCATCACATGAATGAATGTGAATTTCCCAATAAATGTGCTAACTGTGGTGGTGATCATCCAGTCTACGCTAGATCTTGCGACAGTTGGAGAAGAGAAAAGGAAATTCTATCAATAAAGCACAAAAATAACATTCCTTACCAAGAAGCACGAAAGAAACTTTATCCTAACGGGAACGTGTAAAGTTGTCGAACTTAACAAGTCAATCTACCGAATTATCAACATCAAAGGTTGATACCAAAAATAGATTTAGCTCGATAGCAAGATTGGAGACTGAAGAGCCGAGCAATATAAACAAATCTAGGAAAAACAATAAATTTAATTTAACATAATGAAACTGCAAAATCCTACAATGGAACTGCAGAGGAATTAGAGCCAACTATGAAGAACTTCTAAGACTCCTCAATAAATATAACCCCAAAGTTGTATGCCTTCATGAAACATTTCTCAAGGACACCAACCATCTAAACATTAAAAATTACAATTCATACATATGCGAAATGCTGCCCAACGCAAATTCAATAAAGGACCCTCTACCAGTAACCTAAACGCATTTAAATTGATCAGAGCAAAAACACGGAAAATAATTAAGCTGGCCAAAAAGACTAGTTGGCAAAACTATGTAAATCAAATTAATTCCTCTACCAAAACTACCACAGTATGGAAAATAATCCGGAAAATTGATGGGAAAAAACAACCTACTACGATCAAGCACCTTATTAAAAATAATGATGAGGTCACAAATATTAAAGATATTGCCGATACACTGGCTGAGACCTTCTCGGCAAACTCCTCCTCTGACAACATTAACACAGAATTTTACAACTACAAAGGCAAAATAGAAAAACAGAAGCTAAATTTCAATTCAGACAACACTGAAAACTAAAATGGATTTTTCACATTACCAGAATTAAAAGAAGCCATACAAAAATCTCACAACGCTGCAGTTGGCCCAGATGAAATTCATTACGAATTTCTTAAGCAACTACCTCCAAATTCGTTAGACTACCTATTAAATACATTTAATTACATCTGGGAAAATAGTAATATCCCAGAATCATGGAAACTAACCACCATCATCCCCTTACATAAGCTAGAGAAAAGCAATCTCTATCCAACTAATTATCATTCAATAGCACTGACCAGCTGCCTGTGCAAAACTATGGAACGTATGGTGAATAAAAGGTTAATTTGGTACATCGAATCGAATAATCACTTCACCAACTCCCAATGCGGCTTCAGAAACCAAAGATCTACAATGGATCATGTGACCAGGTTGGAAACCTCGATAAGGGAAGCAAACGTACAAAAGTAACACCTTATAGCCATTTTTTTTATCTGGAAAAGGCATACGAGACCACTTGGAGGTATGGGATCATGAAAGACATACATGACATGGGATTGAAAGGCAGATTACCAAACTTCATAAAATCTTTTCTTTCAGACAGGAAATTCCGAGTCCGAATTGGTTCTACCCTGTCGGACATTTAGAATTAAGAAGAGGGTGTCTCTCAGGGAAGTATACTGTCGGTAACCCTCTTCAACATCAAAATTAATAGCATTACCAATTGCCTGAATCCTGGAGTTGATAACTATTTGTATGTTGTATGCTGATGACTTTTGTATCACCTCCACATCCTGATACATGCGAACAACAGAGCGTCAACTACAATAAAGCATCAACAAAATAAACAAATGGGCTATCATAAACGGCTTCGAGATCTCTGAAACAAAAACACAATGCGTGCATTTTTGTCAGTTAAGGAAAATGTATGACAACCCAACACTGAAGCTAGACAGAACAGAAATTCCGGCAGTTGACCAGTATAAATTCTTAGGAGTTATTTGCGACAAAAAAACTAACTTTTATTCCACATATACAATATCCGAAAGAGAAATGTAACAAAACACTAAAACTACTTCGTGTAATAGCTCACAAAGATTGGGGTGAAGATCATCAAACCCTATTAAAACTATATAGAACATTAATCCGATCAAAACTTGATTATGGCTGCTACATGTATGGGGCAACCAGAAAATCCTGCCTGAAAACACTAAATACAGTCCACCATGAAGGATTAAGACTTGTTTTAGGGGCATTTCGCACATTATGAGCCTTTATTCTGAATCCTATGAACCATCACTAAAACTTAGATTCCAAAAATTAGGTCTACAGTAAAATTAAATCGCGACCAACCAATCCAGCCTATAACTGCATTTTCAACCCCAAACGCCAAAAACAATTTGATCAAAAAGTAAAGGCCATAAAACCTTTTGGTCTCCGTATGAAACCCATAGTGGAAGACATGGATATTCCAATCACAAACATCCATGATACCGTTCAATTAAGCTTACCACCCTGGCTGTGATCATTCTTGATTTAAACAAACTTCCGAAAAATAAAACCCAACCATTAACCTACCAAAACAAACTCTCCAATATTCAGGAAAATACCCAAACTTCTCGCACATTTACACAGACGGCCCGAAAGACAGCAATAGAACCGGATGTGGAGCAGTTTTCAATAAGGAAATGATGAAAAAATGCCTCCTAAAAGAAGCTTCCATATTTACTGCAGAAATCTATGCAATAAAACTAGCACTTTAAGATTGTTTGTGCAATCATCTTAAAAAAAATTCATCATCCATACCGACTAAAATACAAAACTGGATAACCCTTTAATTGTCAAACTTTTAAACAAAATCAACTCCATAAGACATAAAAAGGTGATATTTTGTTGGATCCCAAGTCATATTGGAATTCAGGGAAATGAGAAAGCCGATTCCTTAGCAAAAGCTGCACTTAACATGACATCCAACCAGAACTCCAAAATCCCATATACGGACCTAAAACACAAAATCAAGAAAATAATGATTCACAAATGGCAACAACTATGGGACAAAAATACCCACAATAAGCTCTACCTAATAGAACCCATTTTAAAAGAAAGGAAACTGAATCTTAATAATACAAGAAGAGAAGAAACCACCATTACTCGACTACGCATTGGACACACTAGACTGGCTCATTCCTTCATACTAGAAGGGAAGCCTTCTCCCAAATGTCCCTGTGGAAACCAATACACAGTAAAAATACTGATAGAATGCACAAACCTTACACACATTCGAAGAAAGTTCTACAGCATTAAGAGTACAAAGGAACTATTTACAAAAAGTGATCCAAGTCATATAATAAACTTCCTGAAAAGAATTGGTCTTCTATCGAGAATATAATATGTGCAATTAAGATATGCTACTTTCTAACATTTTGTAAACAAATTGTCTATACTAAATGGAAATCCTTGTCCTAGATAGTAATACCTGTAATTATTTTGCAGTGTGCAAGAAAATAAGCTCTAGCTTAGATAGCTTATAGCCGTTTACAAGTATATATATATATATATATATATATATATATATATATATATATATATATATATATATATCAAACTAAATTTGGCATTAAATGACCTACAGTGGTTGATATGCCATAAAACCCAACCAACTAACCGAACGCTACGAGCGGATTGAGACAGAACGGACGAAGACAAATACGAGAAATCCAGATCTCCCTGCGCCTACGGACAAGGAAACCAACCCCATCTCGAGAACAACGGAGAAGAACCCCAGCCGAGAACGACGAAGCGACCAGGGCATTTGTTGGTTTCATCGCACATTTGGCGATGGAGCCAAAAACTGCACACCAGTCGGCCCGGGAAAACGAGTAAACCGGAGGGTGGCGACGACTAATCCGGTGACAACACGCAATCTCGTCTATGCTACGTTTGGGATCGCCGGAACTGAAATTCTTAGTAGACAGGTGCAGCCATCAGTGTGGTACCCTATCAGAACGACCACACCGCTAAGCCCATCCTGCTCAAACTACGAACTGCGAATGGTTCCGCAATAGACACCTACGGAGAAAGGACCCTTACTCTGAACATCGGCATGCGACGTGATTTCACTTGGACATTCACCGGAGCCAACGTGAAACCCATCCTCGGCGCGGATTTCCTGCCGCATTACGCACTAGCGGTCCATATGAACCCCAGGACCCTATCCGACACAACTACGAATCCCCGTGTCTTAGATTCGCCTACACGTCGCAGCACCATGGTCGCGAGTACTTGGATCTCCTGACGCAGTTCACAGATATAACGCTGCCACTCTAAGCCACTGCTTCAGGTGACCACCAAACTCAGCACCATATCAGGACTAGAGGTCCGCCTGCAAACTCCCACTCGCGACGACTCGCACCACACAAACTGGCGTACGCCAGGGAACAATTTGACAAAATGCTGAGCGACTGCATCATTCGTCCTTCCGATAGCCCTTACGCCTCGCCACTGCACTTAGTACCTAAACCCGGTGGCAAAGAATATCGGGTATGTGTCGACTACCGAAAATTAAACGCATCGACCGTACCAGACCGGTACCCTGTCCCTCAAATCCATGATTTTGCTTCCGGATTAGAGGGTGCTCGCATATTTTCTAAAATCGACCGGACAAAGGCATACCATCAGATGCCCGTCGCTGCGAAAGACGTCCCTAAGACGGCAGTCACAACACCGTTTGGCCTATAAGAGTTTCTAAAAATGCTATTCGGTCTACGTAACGCTGCCCAGACCTTCCAACGGGTCATAGATGAAGTCCTGCGCGGTCTACCTCACGTATACGCTTACATCGACGACATCTCGGTGGCCAGTAAAGACGCCGTCTCTCACAGGCAACACCTACGAGAAGTCTTCCAGCGACTCTCGCACTACGGCCTGAAGTTGAACCTGGACAAGTGCGTTTTCAGGGCGCCCAGTGTCGATTTTCTCGAGCATCACATTAGTGCTAACGGCATAGCACCTCTGCCAGACAAGATCAGCTCGATCCAGGATTTTCCTACACCGACGTCCATCAAACAATTGCGACGTTTCCTCGGTATGATCAACTTCTATCGTCGATTCATCCCGAATTGTGCTACCATTCTCCAGACACTGACGAACATGCTGCAGAGAAGGAATAAGGACATCATGCTGGAGGGAGATGCTCTGCACGCATTCCATACAGCAAAGGTCACATTGGCAAATTTCACTAGGCTTTCGCATATTAACGACGATCCGAAGACGCGACTGTTCCTGACAACCGACGCGCGGACGCAGTAGTGGGCGCGGTGGTTGAGCAGGAATTCAATTCACAACGCGAACCCATCGCATTCTTGTCGGTCAAGCTTTCACCAGCCCAGAGAAAATACAGCACCTTCTCTCGGGAGCTGCTGGCTATTTACCTGGCCGTCAGGCATTTCCGGCACTTACTGGAAGGTCGAGATTTTATTATCTATACCGACCATAAACCGTTGACGACCGCGATGAGTAACAACTCTGACACAGCCCGCGAGATCCGGCATCTCGACTACCTGTCACAGTACTCGACCGACATTCGTCACATTAAGGGAAAGGACAACGCAGTCGCGGACACGTTATCTCGAGCGGAAGTTCAATCTCTTCAGACCGACGTCTTGGGTCAGGATTCCATAGCCGCCGCACAGAAATCCGACCCCACACTACAAAACGTGCTTTCAAAAACTTCCTTAAAGCTTCGGGAGTTCGCTGCATCCTTCAGCAACGACACCATGTACTGCGACACCAGCCTCGCCAGCCCTAGGCCCTACGTCCCACAAGAACGCATTGCGAAAAGAACAGTGTCGGTCTTTGTGCTCGATAAGTAAACGCGAAAAATTTGTCGATGCACAAAAGGCACAATGTTGATAGCACTGAATTCCTTGGCGGTTAAACCTCAAGAGATTATTAAAGGACTAGGTTTCTTCATGTGGGACATACTGTTGCCCACACCGGAGGACTGTGTGGATGCAACGTCTCGTGATTTGATCACCAAAGACTACATCATTCGCACGGAATAACAAGGACGGCGTAGGACCAATGTGACACTATATGAGATTCCTGATTATGTTCTTGGAGAGCATTTAGGTGCATATATCATGCAGTATGGCCAGATTGTGAATGTTCTTCCAGAGTGTGAGTTAGGGGAGTGAGGGTTCAAGATAATGATCAGGACACATGGCACAGTGGATAAAGGCGTTGGTTAGATCCAGTGACAGGACGCAAAGAGTGTGAGTTCAATACCCGGTTAAGGCAGTGGAGAACTTTCAGAAGGAAATTAACAGGAGATAACTGATAACTGACATCCATTAAACATGGCACGTGGAACTAGAACAGTCTACCCCAGTGAGTGAAATAAAGGGTTCAGTTCGACATTCCAACCACCTGAAGAAGGCCGGAGCGTGCAACGGCCGAAATGTTGTAATAAATATGGCGACAAAGATGAGGACAATAGTCCGAATAATGTAAATAAGGTGCCCACTCCTGCAACACAACCTTCCATTCATGCCCAATCTCCATCTTATACACCAACCTCCCAAAAGAGGCAGCAAAGCCCCTCAGTGGAAACCAAGGAGGAAAGACGAAGGGCTAAATTGCCTTATAACATCGGAAAAGATGTCTGCCGAGTAACATCAAGCCAAGTTGAGCGTGTCAAGAACTATGCTAAGCGAGTACACGCGCTTAAGCCGTTACTTGCAATGCAGAAATTAGGAGACAAGGATATAGAGGACCCGCAAAACTTTCCGGGGGCTCAACGGGTCGTCACCGTCATCAGAACTGGTTCCGGGTCCCGGCATACATTGGAAATGGTGGAGGAAGGCATCAAAGGAATCGAACTTTCGCCGCCAATTGCAGTCGGGGAGTCCGAAGAGGATAAAAAGTTGCGTCAAATCTGCTCGGGGAGGGTCCCAATTTTTTTTTCACCCCTCCCTCTATAGAGCACTTAAGTTAACATTTCCGTGGGATATCGGGGGTCTCGCGATTGAGGGTCACATGAATAAGGAAATGGGCCATGGTTCAATGGGCGAGGCCGTCGGTATCCTCACCACGACAATGTTTAGGGCATGTGGCTAACCCTATTAGATCTAACCATGTCTCTCTTTTTAGTCAGTTTGAATGTCCAGGGGCTGAGGTCGGAGTCTCGAAGGGCGAGACTCAATCGCGACCTTCAGCGCCTTGGTGTGGGTATATGTGACTCGTTTCCATTCTGGCGACCATGATCATATGCTGACGAAAAGGTTTAACCTCTTTTCAGCGTGTTATGATGGCCGCTCTAGGGGGGTTTCTTGACTGGTGAACCGTTCCTTGAATGCTGTATGTACACTTGTCTACGCGGATCGGAAGGGCAGGCTTTGTTTCGTGAACGCTACCATAAATGATCAAACATTTCGTCTCATCGGGGTTTATGCGCCCTATGGCCAGGGGGGCGGGCCCCCTTTCTTCTGCGGATCGATCCGTTTCTGACGACTTCTCGGCGGGTAATTTTAGCGGGTGACTGGAATGCCGTCCTCGATCCCGATATAGACGCACGGGCACTAGATCGGGTACTAACAACCCGGATAGGTTCGATCTTGTCGATAAGTTCAAGAATGAATTTCCCCTGGAAATAGTTTGAACATGGACTAATAGGGACAGCTCGCCTTCGGTGTTGCGTACAAGCTACATCGACTGAGTCTTAGTTAGTAGAGTCGATTTAGGGCTGTCCAAGTCCAAGTCAGCATTCGGACCATAGGCTTGTCCGTGTTCGTATAAACTTAGATAAGCCTAGAATTAGAATGGCTGGTTATTGGAAATTCAATACATCATTGCTCGGTGATAAGGATTTTCATGACCAGTTTTACTAAACCTAACGCAGTAATTGACGGGTTTTATGGTTGGGAATAAGTGGTGGTATCACCTTAAGACTACTATTAGGTCGTTTGCGGCTGATTATAGTAAGCGACTCAACCAGAAGAGATTAGCAGAGCAAACGGCACAAGAAGCTAGAGTAGAAAGGGCTATAAAATCGGGACATAGTGGGGAATTAGCTGTAGCTAGGGAAGAGTTGGCCTCCTTGCTTATCAAGAAGGATCAAGCTCTGGTAGTTAGGGCTAGATTAAAAAGGATGTCTTCCGAGGCAACAAATATGGCCGCTGAATTGTGAGCTGAAGAAATTCGGAGTATCGCAGATCGGTACATCGCTAGCGTCACATTGCCGGATGGGCGGGCAACCGACGGCAAATGCCAGGCTTTCCGAGCTCACTTTCAGGAGCTTTTTAACAGGGAGCCCGATCTGAGTTCGACTCAGTTCGACACCTATTTGGCCGACTTTCCTCGCCTCGAGGCGACTGAAGCGGCTGGGTGCGAGGGTCCGATAACAGAGGAGGAAATCTGGGACGTGTTGAAGCATGTACATAGAGACAAGACTCCGGGTATTGATGGAATTGAATTTCCTATGAAGTGTACTTGAGGCAGTGGCACGTGTTTGTCCCCCTGCTGGCACTGATATTTAACCAAGGGATGAAGAACGGGAGTATTCTCGAACGCTTCACCAGAGGTGTGATCAAGTTTCTGCGCAAGGATAAACACGGAGGGATGGGATTAATAACTTCCGGCCTATGTTAAATACAGAGTTAAAGATTTAGGCCAAGGTCTTAGCTAACCGTTTGCATGCTGTCCTACCTAGTCTAACTGGCCCCGAGCAGACTTGTGCTGTGAAGGGTATGACTATTCAGAACAACCTTCATCTGGTGCGCTTGATCTTAGAACAAGTCGACAGTGAAGCCGCGCTGATCAATTTAGATCAGTCCAAGGCATTTGATAGGGTTGGCCATCGATTTCTCGAAGCTGTCCTCGAGTCGGCTGGCTTCGGGCCGTACTTTCGATCCTGGATTCGTCTCTTGTATCGTTCATCCGGTGCGATGGTAGAGGTGAATGGAGTGAGGTCTAAACCTTTCATTTTGTCCAGAACCATTCGTCAAAATTACCCTCCCTGGTTCGAACACGTCAGCCAGGTATTCTGCCTATGCCAATGACATCAACGCTTTGGTGAAAAGCAAGGCCGAGATTCTTGAAATTGGCAAGGAAATCAGCAGGTATGAGGAGGTGACAGGAGCCAAAGTAAATCGCGACAAATCTATCGGGTTGCGTTTTGGTACGTGGAAGGGCATTTCTCCTCCCGGGCCCTTCACTTGGACGGACGGGCCTCTCAAGATACTCGGCGTCTGGTTTGGCCCCGACCTCCAGTTGGATAAAAATTGGTTGGAGGTCCGAGAAAAGGCCGAAGCTGAAGCTAGTCTGTGGGCTCGGAGAAGGTTTTCCTGGAAGTTTGTGCCTTGCACATCTACCCCATCCTTCTTTACCGGCTCTCGGTACTTCCACTGCCGTCCACCGATCTAATTTTATTAGTGCGAGTCTTGTTCAACTTCTTGTGGGCTGGCAAGTCTCATGCGGTGCGTCGGCCGGTCTGTTTCCCCCACCCGTCTGAGGGCGGTCTGGGGATGCCCGACGTTGAGATTCGTCAAAAGACGTTGCGGCTCAAGTTCCTGGATCGAATGTGTCAGAAAGATGAAGTAACGGCCTCTTCTGGAAGGAAGATGTTAAGAAAGCATTTCCGTCTTTGAGAAGTGTGCATGAAGGGGAGGAGGAGGCCCGCTGTATTCCTCGAGCCGAGTGCTCCTTCTATCGCGAGTGTCGTCGCGCTCTGAAAGACTTCACATGGATTAAGGAAGGCCGCTCCGATACCCGACTGTTGTCTCCTAAGGCATTATATCGGGTGTTAGTGCGGGGGCCGCTTGCGATACTCTTAGGGATGAGCTCGGTTTGACGAGGGAGGAGTTTAGCTCTCTGTGGCCTTGGGCGTCCGGGTGACGGTCTCTCAATAACGACGAGGCATCACTCACCTGGCTGGTGTTGCGGAAGGCCCTCTAGGTCGGCAAAAAGCTCTGTGCAGCGGGCTTGGCACTTACGTCAAACTGCGTGCGCTGCGATTGAATCCTTGGGGCACATCTTCTTCTACTGCAGCGTCGTTCGGGCGTTGTGCAAACTGATTGAGGGCTACATGGTCCGCGTCCTAGGTGGAAAGTCCTTTGTCCTAGAAGCCAGGTCCGTATGCAGCAATGTTGTGCCGCAGTTGAAGAGGAATGAACACTATGTGTTCTTGTGTTTAATCGGCATTATGCTAGTCGTGATTTGTACGACGCTACAGAAGGAAATTCATGGAGGTGAGAAGTTTTACTCTTCTCAACTGGTTTTGTTTTTTAAGCACCAGGTAACATAGGCTTAAGGATATTGACCGCCTGACTTAAAACATTTGTCATGTAGGGATAAGTTAGAGTCCGTCGTTTTGATTTTGTTTAATTCGCTTGTTTTTTAACTTGGCTAGGGTGTGAATGGTCATTGGTCTCTTTATCTTTGTCCCCCAACTTTTTGGTTCATTCCCTCTGCCCTCCCCATTTAGATGACAGAGTTTGCAGTTCCCTGGTTAAACTGTGGAATGCCTTTCGTTTTAGAATGTGTAATTTCGTTTATTTCCGCAGTATTTTTCGCCCAGTTAACTCTTATCTCTGCAATGTTTAGATTGTGGGGGAACGTTTACTAACACTAGTTTTGTTTAGTTGTGTAAATAATCTTATATCACGAACATTGGGGATTCATTGTTTATTAACCCAGCCCCCCCCCCAAAAAAAAGCTGTATATATAGGGATTAAGTTGAATTTCCTTGAGTGGATGTGGCATTGCAGTGTTGTGTGGAAAGATGTTTTGGTGAAAGGAACAATATTTGGACGATTGGATCAGTAAATGAGGCTAGCTAAGTTAGAAGTAAGCCAGTTGAAGACCAGCCTCCCCCCCCCTCCATTCCAATTTTGCTCTTGTGGCACTTTTGTACAATAAATATCCAAGCTGTTCGACCTGGGAGCCTGGATCAAAGTGTAGTACTCTACCTTTGTGAGCTTCCGGTGCTTTGTCGAGATAATACTCTTCGGCGTGATCCCCGTTTCCGCGGTCGATCCGCCCTGGAAGACGTATCACCTCTCTGACCAGCTTCGTCAAGTCGTATCACTATTCTGACTCGGCTCTGTTTAGGGAATTCGTCAAGTGCTACGCTTCTGTACGATAGTCGTATCACTACACCGATTGGTCCTGTTTACCGACCCGACGAATTTTCGTTCGTCACCAATCAACCAGCTGCTGTCCCCGACAAATCTCCCATCCGGCAGTCGACCAGCTACCACCGCCGATCAACTCTACACTCGTTTCGCCGATACAACCGAATCAACTTCCCCTGAAGGAAACCAGATACCGATACAAACATATTTCTCCAGGGTACACTCTTGTACATTTTGGATAAATAAAATCGACGTTTATTGTTTCAAAAACCTATGCCTCATTGTCTTTGCTGTTCACACCTTTCTTCCAAAAGCTTGCGGGGTTGAAAAGAATGCGGCCCCGCAACAATACCTTTACAATAAATACTATTTCTTGCTTTGAGTTTATATTTTTAAATTCCTTAATATGCATCATGAATCCTATATGGGATACTGTTTTGGCATACTTCTTGGTATGTCTATGTAGTCACCTTTAGTCATCAAGCCACCTGGTACTGATAGACATTCTTTCAATGACCAGTAATTTCTTATGAGTTTGTGTACATCTTTCATAACCCCTGTCCATACATTTATTATCACTTGTTTTAGCGTTTTCAATACTCCATCTTCTGTAGCTTCTTGTAAATTTATTTGCTTCTGTACTGATATATCAAAATCAAGTATTGTAAAAATCTAGTTCAATTTCTTTGCCTTGTGTCAGTTGTACAGATAGATAATCTGAAATTCTTATATGATTTGAATGTCATACGGTTGTAGCCTTATCAACATTCTTTGCAGTCTTGGTGGTACTTGTGCAATGTTTTTGTTCTGTATATTTTCCAATGGCTTGTGATCTGATTCAATTTAGAACACTTTCCCGTATACGTATTTATTAAATATTTCACATGGACACTGCACTGTTAGTAGCACTCTTTCTATGTTTGCATATCTTAATTTGGCATCAGTACGTCTCTTTCTTGCAAATGCAACAATTTTCCTATCATTGATTAATATTGCCTAACATGCTTGAATATATTTGAATTAATTTTTGCATTAGGTTTGAAGTAAGATAGGCAGAGGTTTTCGTGAATACAGTCTTTCAATTTTTAAAAAGTTTTATCGTGTACCTAGAAATTGCTGAAGTTCTTTTCGGTTTGTAGGCGTGGGCCTTAATTTGATTTTATCACATTTTTTCTGGATCTGGTTGAGCCGTTCTCATCCCAAATAAGACTATACTGTTTCTATATTACTTTGTTAAAAAATATAACTAGACCATATCTTCTGGTTGTATCCATTGTTTTTATCAAGTTCTTACGTTCTTCAATTATTTTGCCATATATACAGATATCATCAGATATTCCAGTAGCTCCTTCACAACTTTCTAGTATTTGGCCGATTTTTTGCTGAGGCCCCTTGAGATCAAAGTGACACCTTAAGTACCAGTACCTACCAAAAGGTGTATTAAAACATGTAAACAGGCTTGATTCTTCACCAAGGTGTATTGCATAGTATTCATGTTTTACATGTAACTTTGTAAAATATTCAGCATCAGCTAGTTTGTCTCAAGGATTGGAATTTTGTGGTAAGTTCTTTTAATACATTTGTTTAGCAGTTTTGGGTTTACGCATATGAGTAATTCACTATTGTTTGTTTCCCTGATGAATTTACGATATCTTGAAATATGTCAGAGTATTCATTTGTAAGGTCTTCTATGTTTTGTAATTGTTTTCTAGTATCTACTGACGTTATACTACAGTGTTGTACTGGAACACACCTATTCTATAGTTAATAGACTCTCCCACCTATAATAAGTAGTAGTAGTAGCAGTCGCTAAGTGAGTAGCTGAGTGAGTTGGTCAGCTAGTCGATGTCGGACACTAAGAGTATCAACGACTACCACTAGATTTCTCTGCGTCATTACCTATTATATCAAGTTCCTAACGTTTTGTACGTCGAACCTTTTTAGGACCGACTTAGTAAAATACAAGCCTCCACTGTGAAACTACTCTACAACATACAGTTAATTTGTACCTGACCTAAATTTATACTGGGTCTTAAACCTAATATTGCTGCCACTCTCGCACACAGAACATTTGGCCGTTATATTAATTGGATATTTTATCTCCTTTTTTATAGTGTTTAAATATAGCCTTTTTCCTCTTTTTCATGTTCTCATTTTTCTTTTCTGTATTTTCTTTTTTGTGTCGTTATGGGCTACGTTTTCTAAACCTATGTAGACTTTGTTTTCTAAATCTATACGAACTTGCTTTTCTTATTCCGTGTGGGCTAAGGTTTCTCTTTTGACATGTGGCTATTTTACTTAGGCAACATTTTTCGAAGTGGTAAAAACAATGGCATTTTCTGCATTCTCTATTGTAAGTATAGTGGGTTATCAGTCATAGTGAAGCGAATGAGTGTTGAAACAGATTGGTTTGATTTGGCCTTGTTAGTTAGATAGCCCACCATAAGAGGGGTATAAAACAAGAAAATCAAATTGTAAAGTGAAACAACAAATTTATATACATATAAATCAATTAAGGTCTCTACAAATAAAATTAAGGTCGTCAAAATGTTCGTAGTAGTCCTTGCAAGAATGAGTTTATGTGAACGTAGGCAGGAATGTATGTATGTATGTATGTATGTATGTAAGTATGTATGAGCGTTATCGTAGGGTAGGAATCGCTCAGTCTTAAAATGTTCCGTTCGTTTATCAAGTATAAAAGAGGTGAGGGAGAAAGGTAGATATAATAATAACGATCGCTTGACATTTGTCAAGGGACGTGTTAATACGCTCGTCTCCTTCTCTCTGGTGACAGGCGAACTTGCCCTTCTTTTATTTTGTTTGTGCGGCTTGAAAAGGTCATTTGGGAATTCACTCCCGGATATGATTCGGGCCTTTCCATTGGACGACAAACAAGCTTCGCTTCGGCTCGCGAAAGGTCCGTAAAAGAATTTGTTTCTGAGAATTGAAGCTTATTTGAATTTTGTTTTTAAATGTTTCCTAGTTTTCTATTGGCTGAAAAACATTTCGCATCAAGGTGTGATTCGCTTGGATTCGCTTTTGAGTGTGTTAAGCAAAGTTTGTAAATTTGAGTCTTTTTAATTTCTAACAAAATCAGTGAGTCAGTGCTTAGCATTTGAGTTTTAAATCTAAATCTTATTTTGTTCACTACATAAGAAAAAGAAAAGAAAAATTTGTCTTTTCTTTTACTGTGGTTTTTCCACATCTTGTTCACTCTGGTTTTCTTTAATATATGTTCCTGCCTTTCCTTCACTGTCATGGTTGTAACGTGTACTATTTTTTATCATACCTTCATATGTTTTTATGCTTTCTACATCTAACTTTAATGCCAGATTTTGTTTATTTATTAAATTTCTTTTTTGTTTGCCCACTACAGTCATTTTATTATCTGTTCAAGGATTCGTTCTTCCTTGTTTCTATCAAGTTCACAACTTTCTGCAGTCTAACTAAATATTCGTCAACAAACGTTTCTTCATTTTGTTGTAATGTTGAGAATTCTAAACGTTCAACCTATTTGTTTTTTGTTGGATTGTGTGTGTGTGTGTGTGTGTGTGTGTGTGTGTGTGTGTGTGTGTGTGTGAGAGAGAGAGAGAGAGAGAGAGATTGGTTTGGAAAATTCTGAATACTTTCTATTCATTCACCGAGAAAAATACAACTATAATTTCAGAAGTGGAATCACGGTATTTTTGTTTTTGTTATTTTATAAAACATGGGGAATTTGTATGTAGCCCTGGCAATGCACATACTATGCTACTAAGGATCGTTCGCATTCACCCAATGATCCCGTCTACTGTCGACTGAATGAATAATGTTTGGAAAATTTAAATTCATAAACTTAAGAAGTCCCCAAAAGACGTTTTGTAGCTTAATCTAATTTCATTTTTGATTTGTGTTTATATTCCTTAACAAAACACTTTTGGCATTTTATTTTTCTTATGCAGCGGTGATTGTTGAAACGTTGACGAGTTTGTTGCTAGCAGCACTGTTCAAATTATATTGTACTTGTTTCTAGTTTATGTGTAAAGCCTACCCTTTAAATATTAATTTCAACAGAAATAAAATATAACCTTCCCTCCTCCTACTTACACTCATAATATCTGTCTTATGTTAATCTCGTTTAATTATGCTTAATAAAACTTAAATCAACTAATAAGTTCTTTGTCAATCGCAACCTGTATGTATGTGAATATGTGTATGTGTGTGTGTGTGTTTGTGCGTGATTTTCAAAAATTGGAATATTCCTGAGAGAGTTCAACTTAAAATATATAGTGCATGTGTGTATTTATAATTTCACAGAAATATGTATGCAAGCAATATATATAAATAGATTTTAAACTTTTCTTTTGACGAAAATACAGAGCAAAATTGTAATTCATAAGAAATAAAGAATATGGATAATATTTCTAAAGTTATTCAACAGATTATGCAGTAACTTTTACGATAGTTTCTCATATCTTATCTTAGACAACCGTGTTTTTCAGACTAATTAAATTTTGGCTCTCGGTAGTTTGGGGGAAGGGATGAAGCTAATAAAATAACTTACGGAATCCTGAACCTTGCCAGCCTATGTGCAAAGCTCCTTGACCAAGGAGTTGGGGATGGGGGTCAGATGAAAGTGAAGAAAATAGAAAGAAAAACAAAAGTGTTTTTTCTGCTACAATAGATTATTTTGATAAAATGTGATTTTTTAACCAGTTGGAATCTGAAATGATAGTGTTGACAGTCAATTTTTTCGGGTAAATTGGAACCTACCTTTGGCTATAAAAATCCCTGCAATACGACCATCGCCAGAGCAGTAGGAGACCCAACGCTGGGTAGTAGTAATAGTAGAAACGACCGCGAAGGAGTAGGGGGTCACGACGCCGAGGAGTCGGTGACACGGCGCCTTCCAAAACATTTGAAAACCTGACCGAACGTAGACTCAAAGAAACCCACTCCTCAACGAAGTCTTAACAACCAAATTGTCATTTTCACGACAGAATTAAGTCTTATTTTTACCCCGACTATTGTAACAAAATAGTCGTTTCCATAACAGAGAACAAGTACTGTTCTCAAAACAACGCTCTACGTTGAAGACTCTGAACTCTGAAGGTACGTACATCGACAACTCACATCAAATCAAAAGAACTATTCGACATCATTGAAACCCTTTTATTGTTCTTCTTGTAATTTTCACGCTT